AAAGAGAAAATAACTGATTTTTTTCATTCTTTTACTACTAAATACAAATATTTTCTCAAAGCATTGTCCTCCTCTTAAGTCCTGAACTGAGTAATTTCACTTGATTAAACTAAACTCCTACAAAAAGATTACAAGTATTTTGAATAGCCAAGAACTGTAAGGCTGTACATAATTACTTCAGTAATACACAAATATATAGAATAATAAGAGGGAGAATTTTAGGAACTTTGCAGAATTCCAAAATTTACATGAAATTTTTTTAAGTACAGCAATTGTTCGAGCTAAGAAAAACATAAATCTTGATAGTAACAAACATGTCGTTTCTCTCACCAATGTGGAAAATTCTCAAAATAGGCAAATATTTACATGAAGAAACTATATTGTGCCCCCCATGCAATACTAGCAACTTGAGTTACCCTAATTTCCCATATTTTCTTTTGTCTTTTCCTTTTCAGATAACCACATTTTAATATCAGCTTTGGTGATTGCTAGCACAGTAATTTTGACAGTTTTGGGAGCAATTGTTTGGTTCCTGTACAAAAGAAATTTGGATTCTGGTTTCACCACAGTTTTTTCAACTGCACCCCAATCACCTTATAATGACGACTGTGTTTTGGTAGTTGCAGAAGAAAATGAACATGCTGTTCAGTTTCACTGAGTTTTTGGAAATCTCACATTAAGACAATAAATACATTGTCAGTGATTCCTGTGCAAGATTTCAATATAAAATTTGACAATGAAAACTGAGTTTTTATGCTATATTTACTTATTTCAGTAACATTTTTTATTCTCATGTATCATTGTGACAAAAAATCATCTTTGGGTTTATTATGAAAACAAAATTTTGAAAAAGGAATGATCTTAGATATGTTACTTTTTTTAACCACCTCTCCAGATGTTACCTTTCACTTGAGTAAAGGAAACCTTAAAGCCCAGATAAAAATAAAAACCCAGTCGATTTCCCTTCCATTTAGTTGAACCACTTTGGTTTACAGCTGGAAAAAGAAAATTCTACCTATAGTTTTAATAATCACTAGGTCTTTAGAAATTTCTGGGTCTTGTTCCTTTATTAATAAACATGAGTTATGGAATAAACCTGACTTTAAATAGCTCCTATACGTTTAGGTATCACTCATGCTGGTTACTCTGACAGATAATGCCTTATAGTTCTTATCTTCTTTTATGATTTAGATGTAGAAAATTTTAGATTTTCGCACCTCATATTTCACATAATTCAACTAATTTTACATTTTCATTATTTTTAGAACACCATTTTGGACAACAAATAATATTTAGTACTGACCACAAATGGTCAGAATTTTAATAAAATTTTATCAATTTTTTGAAACAAAGAAATTACAGCTATACCATAGGAAGGTGTGGAGGCTGACAGTAAGAGTAACACTTGTATTATAGTGCCCCCTTAAGGGTGTTTCTCCTATCATCATACCTGTTCCTATATGTGGTATCTCATGCTCCCTAAGCATTGGATGAACTTTACTACTGAATGACACAAAAGCTATGCAAGCAAAAACTGCAGAAAAATACTATGTATACTGCTGTGTAATGATGTTCAAAGTGAAAATTATCATATGGGGGGAGTAAAAACTGAAACGTTATTTTCTTTAGTATTCTTTGCAGATTAAAAACAATATTAGAAAAGTTAAAGAATGCATAGAGTTCACATAAAATTATATGTATTTAGAAACTTGAAAGCTCAGGAAAATACTCTCTCCCCCTAACCCACATCCTATCAATTATCTTATGGGGAATACTTTGCTTACACAAAATACACTATCTCTCAAGGTTGACCAAATGCCAACAAAGTCCCAGCTTGTGTCATCTATTTCCTTTGGCCACTGTTAATCAAAAAACCCCTCCTTACAATTAACAATACTGTTTATGAGACATGAATAACTACAAAGTGATGACAGAAGACTATATAGTGTGGCTATGTGGTACTAAAAGAGCAAATGTTACACAATTATGCTCCGTAAGAGCTTTACATTTCTAAGATTTTATGTAGTGACTTAAATGTGTATTTTATTACTGATAAGCTATTAATAGTGGTACTAATAGTGAACATAAAATTGTAATTCCTTGCTTTTCCTATTCAAATTCTACCGGTCCTTTATGAACTAAGGCTTTTTCCCCCTAATTAGTCAATATTATTTTATATTGCTTTCAGGTGTACAGCACAGTGGTTAAGATATTTGTATAATTTATGAAGTGATCCCCCTGGTTAGTCTAATACCCACCTGGCACTATATATGGGTATTACATTACTGACTATATTTCCTAGGCTGTACTTCACATTCTTGTGACAATTTTGTAACCAATTTGTACTTAATCCCTTCATCTTTTTCACTGAGCCCCCCAAACTCCCATCTGGCAATCACCAGTTTAAGAACTAAGGATGATCTTACCTCTTCCTTAAAATGGTCTCTGATTGTTACAAATCTCCACAAAGACCAATATGGTAGCCTCTAGCCACCTGTACCTATTTAAATAAATTAAAATTAAATGAAACTTAAAGTTCACTTCCTTAATTGCACTAGCCACATTTCAAATGCTCAAATCACATGCAGTTAATAGCTACCATCCTGGGCAATGCAAATTATACAATATTTCCATTTTTACAGAAAGCTTTACTGCCCAGCTGCTCTAGAATCCCCCTTTCCATTCAACTACCATACAACTAATTTTCTTCTGTTCATTTTGATAACTTCTATCTAATGGCAGTTTGTGCAAAATGGCTGTTTTAAACTAGGATAATTTTCCATGTTTGATTTCATTTTTCAACCAAATCCTTACGAGACCCTGGTAATGAAGTGCTAGACCTTAATTCTTTATATATCAGAACATCTGTAAATAGGCCCTAGTATCTATTTGGTGGTCAAGAGATAACTGGATCATTCAAGTGTGTATTTTTAATATTAACAAATAACATGCGTGCTTGTTTACATTCAGAATGTATAAATTGCTTTCTTCAACATCTTGGTTTTAGCTAACGACAGTATAAATTCTTATGTTTGTCAGATATCTAGAGAGAATAATATAATTTTAAATACATTTTCCTAGAAATTTGCATTCTTTGAAGTGAGTAGTGTATGGTCTCTATTTTTGTTCAGAGTTTAAAAGTGATAATCAAATGAAAAGACTTTGCTATTCTCTCTAATTCACATTTACAGGATTATCAGAAGCTAATACAATATTGAAATACCAAGTAGTGGTAAGGAACTACAAGAATATTATAAAGTTCAAGCCACTGTCTGTCATTTAGCATTTAATATAAAACAACTATTAAAAATTGTGTGTACAACAATGGAATGTTTTCTACCATTTAATAAAAATTTTCAAATAATTTTGTAGGTTAAAGCAGAAGGCACTAATTCTCATGCTGAATTCTACTCAAACTATAATGTTTCAAATTCAAAGCATCCCTAAGGACCCAGAGAATAGATACTGAAACTGGCATCCTTAAACTTTGGATTTTTGATTTATGGCAATAAAAAGGTAACAAGTAAAAGGTGAGAAATGTTTTAGAAACATTTATACTTTCCTAAGAAGTAGAATTTGAAATTTTTGTACAATTCTTGCCTATGAGGTTTGAAGTCTACTTTGAGCACCAGTTTAAAAGGAAACATTTCAAACTATAAAGTAAATCCATCAGCATACACTTTATTTCCAGCCAGGTTTTACACTAAGACCAACAAATTAAGTGTGGGCAAACTGTTGAGAAATTACATGGCTTCTATTTAAGTTCTTAAAAAGAAGTTTGTTGCCATGGCATAAGACTTTATTTAACCTGAAACCACCTGAAGGCGTTGTTAAATGTATCTCAGGGTGTTGACAGAGAATATATACTGTTTTGGAAGTATACACAACTCATGATCACAGTGTAAGATCTATTCATGGTGAATAGGTAATATTCACCTGTTTTCCAAAGGTAGTGAAAAATAGATAAGTCATCAAATAAATGCTCAGAATTAACGAGAAACATTTAAAAACAACCAGAATCCAAACAGGTTATTTTTTTTAATCATATTTATCTATAAAGAAGTGACAACACTAAAAAACACATTGAAAACCAGTGTTTTAAACTTTGAATGTGGGATTTAAAAATAGTCCATTAACTTGAGATTGCAATCATTTTTTTTTTTAACCAAATAGCATTTGACTGGCAATTCTGATATAATTTATAGCTGTAATATTCCTAAAAGGAGTATCTACATCCTATGGCCTATCAAATATAATCTGCATTTATCAAATCAATACAAAAATTTATCCATCATTTATATATTTTATATTCATATACTTTTTTAAATTAGATTTTATTGCTAAATGAATTTAGAATTCAAATTAAATTTGGACACCTAATATATAGATGCTCTTCACAACTTACTCCGGGCATTGTGAAATCCCCATTCTTTTTTTTTTTTTTTTAAACACTGGAAGCAAATGATTACAAAAATGAGATTGCAACTTAAGGCATTTTAAAAGGAAAAATAATTAGGTGCCATTTGGCATTTTATTTTGAAAGCATATTTTTGTCTTTTTTCCACTAGCAAGAGTTACTAAAACACGAACCTTCTTCATAAATACGACTACAGTAATCAGAACGCAAAAAAGGGCTGTAAGCATTGCTTAGATATTTAAAACAAGGGTAACACTTTCCCACTTACCTAAAAGAAAAATACTTTTGATTACCATTTTATAAACATCAGTCACTGGCCATGTTAAAAGGTCCAGCAATTAGAATTTTAATTCAGCAACACTTGAGAATGAATATACATATACATGTATACATATGTATATATGTATTCATTTTATATATATAATGTATTCGATAGGCATTGCCCCACAAAATTAATCCATACTTAATTGCCAGTTTTAACGAACACTTGTTCACAGATCCATTTGTGTTATGTGAAGTTAGGCAATATCAAATGTTCTGTTATGGTCTCCATCTTCTTCGGAATCATCCTCTGAAGCTGTTGAAAGAAAACAGGATGATCAAGAATGATTTTAAGGGGGACGAGAATGGAAGTGTAACTATGAAGCCAGAACTGCAATGACTTGTAAAATAAAATCCCAACTTAGTATACTGTTCGATCAAAATGACAAGTTATGACAGGGTCAGGGTGGTTCGACTGTGGGTGATGCTCATCCACAACGCCCCACCCATCTTTTCGTTTTTATAGAAATGAAAATGTTTAAAAATATGCCTCAAGAACATCTAAAGTTTCTGAGACCAATTCGTATTGTATACAATAATATATACACTGGAGAAAAAGTGAATTTAAGGCAAGTGCTCTCGCACACCTGAGTAGAATCTGGGTTATTATTACCACTGTATATTTTTATGCATCTGATGAGAACGACAAAAAAAAGTACATTGAATAGTTTGTAAGTGTTCTTGCAAATTATATCAAAGCTATGTCTATACAATGCCAAGAAAAAGCTCTACTTAGTCAAAAAAGCTTTATATAGACATAGCCTAAGCTAAAATAATTGGATTTAGTAAAAACCTTCTGTTGAGATTATTCCTATGCCTCCACAGTGTCATAAAAATCATTTTTGCAACATTTCTGACCTCAATTTATTTTAGGGTCATTAGTAGCTCAAGAGTTTAATATAAAACATCTTAAAATATCTTTAGGAAGGACACAGTAAGTATAAAACTATGTATTCTGTAAACTGCTGTGCATGTTGAGGAACGTGCACGTTCACTATATTAGACATCTAACCAGCATTCCCATATTATCAAGGGGAGAAAGGTTAAATTATACTCTTGTTGATACTGAACAATTTAAGAGCTCCCACCAAGTGGAATCAACAAGAAAATTATGCTATATGTGACTAGATGAAACTATTTTGATACTTCAGTCTGTTTTTCTTGCAGAACTTAAATTCATTTTTAGTAAATAATATCAAACATGCTTATTAGCTCATGAATGAGTAAATCCTATGGTTTAGTTTTAAGCTGTTATCAAGAAGTGTATCAAACTAAAAAATAAAATAGCTTTACAGAGAACTCATGTTTCCTATTCAATTTATACCACAAAGAAAATTCACTCAGAACCAATTATCAGAATACATTAATACTCTGGTATTTGGGAGTTAACTTGAAGCACCTGCAACATCTTTCACTCTCAGCTGAGTCTGGGTATATTTCACCTCCATCGTGTTCCTCTCTCTCACAGGTTGGGAGTAGACAAGGCTATGTTTAGAAAACTAAATTTTAAATGAGAATGTTTTTCAAAAAAGAAAAACCACAACAATCGGGGGGAAATGTACACTGAAACAAACTAATCATATCTGACAAAGTATAAATTATAATTTACCAAAACAGAGATCTTTTAGACAACATAAGAGATCTAAACTAAGAAGGTATATAGGAAAAAAAGATTTATACCAAATGAATTCTCATTTTATATACCATTTGACCCCTTTATATATCTTTTTTAAACATACTAAAATTCTAAAAATGCATTACCTGGTTATATTTCCAATCCTTTTAAAATTTAAAAATAGCACAGAACGACAAAAATCCATGTCTTAGAATAATCAGGAATTAAACGGTTCTTATAAGGACTAATTCCTTCTCAAACCTTACTCCAAAGATGCTGAGCTTTCTCTAAAAGTAAAAGTTATGCACACTACAGATAACATTTCAAGTATTTTGAAGATGAGTATAGAAGCTAACTAAATGGAGAATACATATTTTAAAACACTTCAAAGAAGTGTATTGGAATCTGATCATGGGGAGCCACTTGCTTTGGTTGAAAAAGTACTAAACAGGGTAATCTTGGATTCCCAGGAACTGTTCCAAAGCCACTCATATCTGTGCCCACCTGGTATGAAGCACCCTGGAGGTTGTAGGACTTTAAAAAGAGGGTAAGCTGTGCAGATGCCTGTAAAGATTTGGGCATTAAGTGCCTTCATATAGGTGCCCAGGCAGAAGTCCTGGAATGTGACTTTAAGAAATTGGAGCTGCTGGTGGAGCTGGCTGCCTATTAAAGGTCCATGAGCACCTGAACAAAAAGCAAAATAAACAAAAAAACCCCCAAAAGTATGGCTTCTGTTATGAACTCAGAATTAGGACTCTTTCATCCCTATTTTCCTAGAACTATACATAAAAGGGAAAACCTTTTACGATCAAATAAAACTGAATACAAAGTAAAATTTCATACACACTCAAAAATATCTAACAGATTAAAAAAGTGTAATTTGATTAGCAGTCAAACATGTCTGTTTCATTAAGTGTTAAAATTAAGGTGATCAAAAATAAAATTTTATTTAAAATAGAATTAAAATACTGGTGGTTTAAGTTATATCCTTCCATACCTTAAAATTAATTTTAAAAATATGTGCTTTTAAAAAACTAATGTCAGCTGCCCAGCCCATCTTTCCCGAATCAATTGGTATTATAAAGCCTATAAATGAAACTCTAATTTGATAGAGTATATATACTTAGGTTTTGCAATGTGGGTTTAATTTGCAAAAGTAAATTCAACAAGTCTGGGGAGGAGAAATTCCACCTACTTTCGAGATCTTCCATATGTGCCTGAAGAGTTCTTGCAAGGTTAATAAACTAGAAATAATGCAGAAAGAAATACAGTAGTTGAAATGTTGCAAATGGATCTAAAGAGAGAATCAGTATAGGAGATTCATTTCTATATAAAAAGTCAAAACTCTATTTTAAGCCTTTAAAATAGGGGTCTTTCTCCCCCTACATCAAAAATAACAAAGCTTGGCATTTAAAAATTTTTTTAAAAAACAAATCATTATTATTCATGTAGAAATTATGTACTCATCATGTAGAAATGATGAGTACATAATTTCTACATGAATAATAATGATTTGTTTTTTAAAAAAATTAGGAGCAGATACAATGATTTTACCCAAAGATATTCCTCTTGCATAAATATAACACATCAAAAATTTATGAAAAGTAATTAAAGGCTTCATAATTTGTAACCAAATGAATTCAATTTTAGTGGTCAATTAAAAAATTATAAAAGACAGGAATCAGTATTTATTTTCCAACCTAAATTTGATAGCTCTAGAAGTATTACGTTTGATTCTGTATTTAAAAAATCATAAAAATGACTTGCAATTTAACATTAACTTGTCTCTAGCTTTACAAAGGCATGAATTCAATAGATATTACTATATGCTTTATATGGTTTATTCATTCTAAAGAGGTAAGTCACCTTTTCAGAAATCATTTTTAAGCATAAACTAAATTTAGGTACTAAAGTATTCAGAAGTTAAGAGATCTTTGCTCAAAGTTTATCTTCTTTTCTCTCAATGAAAATAATCTATCAGTTGGCTCACAGGTATAACATCCACATTACAGAAAAACATTTTACCAATTTAGAAGCAGTATTATATAAAAATAGAAACATTACACCTCATCATAAACTGCTAAATTTTTATCACCAAAATCGACATTTAGATAAAAAAAAAAAGTTTAAAGGATATGTTTATGAACACATTTCAAGATGTGAAGCGTTCAGAATGTTACAGCAATGAGATGCAGAGGGACCTAACCCTTGCTACACAAAATGGGCAAGGCAGCAGAGTATAAATTTCCTCTGGTACACTGAGGCGAACAGTATGAATTACTTGTAAATACTTAACAAAAATATTACTTGTAAATAGCTAGTCTAAATGTTAAATTAAAGTAATAGCATACAGAGTAAACACCAAATAGTCTGTATCTTAATAGTTTGTAACATGAACACACTTAAAACTTAGTACACTGGTAATCTTTTACATGATAGTAACAAATAAATTTCCCATATTCTCTTGGCTTTTGGAGTTCTATTTCAGGTTTCCAAGTTATAATACTGTCTTGCCCCGCAAATTAAAAAGAGCTTTATCCCTTAGTGTTTCCAATTCTGATTCTGGGTTTTCACTGAAATATATTCCAATTACCTTAAAGAGCTAGAAAATTACTTTCTAAACGAGTTTTATGAGAAAATTAGGCTGCTTGATATCAAAGGAAGACAGCAATTTCTATTAAATCTACATCTTTATTTTTAAGACACATTTTAATATAAGAGCTCCCCAAAGAAAATAGAATGTGAACATATAAAACAATCTGCTTTCCAAAACAAACATGGTGCATCACACCCTCCCTTCTCCCCCACGCCAATATTACTTACTCGGACACGTGTACTTGGTTCATTTGTATTTCCCATCATATCAGAAAAGCTTTGTTCGCACAAGTGCAGTAACACAACTAGGTAGAGACCAGAGCTGATAAACTCATACTCAGCCTTCAACAGGTAAGCAAATAAGAGAAAAAGAATATGGAAAATGAAAAATTAGTAGACTTGTGATTGATATTCATAACATACTGATAAACTAGAAGAAATACATTCATGTCTACTTCCTAATAAGAGATATGGTGCTATCTATTAAAACAGGAAATAAAAGGCTGTCCTTCATAATTTCATATATTTTTACTTATGCCAAATAATGAGTCCAAATAGGTGTGTGAGTATCCTCTTTAGTCTCATGTAGTCTTCATGAAATGACATATAAAAGTGGGACTTTTAAGTCATTTGATGGTAGAATGAATGCTTGTAACAGATTTCACTGCATAAATGGCTATAAGTGTTTACTTAAAAACTACCATTTCATCTACAGCTAAATCAATACACTATATAATTAAAAACCTATTCTCACAGATCGACTATTTCTTATGTGATAGAATTAATTTAATGGCAATGGTAATTACAAATATGAACTAAAAAAAAAGAAATAGAGTAACTGTTCCTCAACCAGTTATTTTATTCCAAACTGTTCTGTTTCGAAGCTAAGACTACGAATCATGTTATTAAAATCTAAACTGTCCTGTAATTTTTATATGGCAAACTGTTTGTTAGTTGTACCATATTTATTTGTAATTCACTCATCTAAAGTTAAGAAATCTATGTTTTTAGTACCAACTTCAGCAAGTTATCAGATTTCACAGAATATTTAAGAAATCTGATATTGATATATTAAGCATTTTAAAATGCTTCACTTAATTACTTTGCTTATTTTTAACTTAAAAGGAAATCACATATCCGTAATATTTTAAAAATGTTGATGGCTTTCACCTTGAAAAAGATGAAGTCACTGGATGAAATACTAAACTGTATAAACTAATCATTTAAAATGAGGGTAGCTGTCAGCCACTAGAATCCAAGATTCACAAAAAACAGCCAGAAAGTTTAATCAGAACTGTTGTTTTTACAATGACTACACTTATTTCCTAACACTTCTAAATTATTTAAGATGTGGATTATTAAAATCCTTGGAGAATAAAACATTCCCAGTTGAAATTTGAAAAGCCAAATGACACCTTTAAGATGGAACACCTAGAGAAAGAAGAATGGCAGGAGAAAACCATCCTTTGAAACCTATTCTCATTTTGAGAAGACAAAAAATAACCTCTTTGCATGATTCTACCTTTCCATACTCTTTCTCCTATTATTTAAAATATCAGTGCTCAGCTGTCTAGAGACTCCTTGGGGATTTAAGAAAATTCTTTGCTGAAAGTGGTATTCATTTTGGGCAACTGGCTCATTGGAGAATAAAACAATTAATATTAGAGTAGCATCTGTGTTACATCAACTGCCTAATGTTTCGTTCACTTTATCAGTGATTCCTAACCTGGATTTAAGCAATTAGCTTCAAGGTATCTGGGAATCCCTTAATTACATACAGATTTTGTGTCGATGTGTATTTTGTAAGCAGTGTCCATGGTTTTAATCAGATTTTCAAAGGGTATCCATTATTCCCCCATTTAAAAAGGGTGTCCACTAAAGATCATATACTCCATTATTCTATTTGCATGAGATATCCAGAACAAATTCATAGGGACAGAATGTAGATGGGTGGTTGCCAGGGGATGTGAGAGGTGGGTAATGGGAGAAACTGCTTAACAGGTACAAGATTTTCTTTTGGAGAGATGAAAATGTCTCGGAACCTACAGGTGGTAGATGCACAACAGTGCAAATGTACTAATATTAGTTTACTTTAAATAATTTGTTATGTGAACTTCGTGTCCGAAAAAGTAGGGCTCCATTACCCGTTCATTAAAAAAGGGTTTTTTAAGGATTCATGGAAATAGATAATGGTGATGGCCACACACCATCATATACCTCTTTTTATAACAAATATGCTAAGCACACTTAGATGACTGACACTAGGATCATCCTTGTAATTTAGTTTAGTACCTTCCCCCCCAAGAGCTCTTCATATTCTAACTATTTAATTTAAGCATCTCATAAAAACTTTTAAAATGTAAAGCTCTTCAAGATTGAGAAGTTAGTGATCAAATCAATTATTGGGGAGGAAGGTTTATCAAAACATTCTAAAACATCTGAGAAATATGAAAAAAAATTTGGAAAAATTTAATTTGAACAGAAAAACCCTAACATTATTTATCATATAAAATTAGCTAGCAATGATACAAATACTAAAGGAAAGAAAAACAATGTGAATTTTGAATAAAAGATATTCAGAACAGATAAATTCATAGGGGCAGAATGCAGACTGGAACTTGACAGGGAGATAGGGAACATGTACATAAAAATTATTCCTAACATAAAAAATACAGAAATAAAATGGAAATTCAGGGCTTGGCTTTTTAATCATGTTCCAGCACTCAAGAGGGATTCACAACTGAGACAGCTCTGGGGAGACAGAGGTGTCATGCCTACCCTGGGACCACTTTTCTAAGCCTTTATTATTTCAGGTTTATTTAGGAAGCATATGATGTATTTTATCTTAATAAATTTTAAACCTGTGACTTGGTTATATGCCTTTGTTACAAAAAGTTATGGGGAAAATAAAGAAAAATTATAAAATTATAATATCTAATGTAGTAACAGAGAATTATTTTAAGATTATTATTGCTATTTTTATCATTTTAATGACGGTTTTCTGGCCATGATTTAATCTTTTCTTCAAGAGTTGTCCTTTAAGCATAGAATAGACACTTACCAAATTAGGCAAAATATACTAACTTGTTCATTTGCATGAGCTCTATGTAGTTCATGAATATCAAAATCCTCCAGGTTAAGCTGCAACTTCTCTTTACAGAGTTCACAGGTGGTTACAGCCTCTAATGAAGAACCTGGTAAAAATTAAATTACAAGTAAAGCTTAGTTTTGCTATTGTCACCACAAAACATTTTTCCTTTTAAGTTTTAAGCTCAGAATGTAGAAAATCATGGAGGGAGGATGACTGCATTACTACCATAAACCAGTAATGTCTGCTAAAATAGCAATCAGCAACACCTAACGTGCATGTCAGGTCCTACTCTAAGCATCCACTCATTATTTAGATAGCTGTTATTCTTTTTTTTTCCTCCCAAGTACTCATACATTCCTACCATGGGAAGCTGACAGTGGAATGCCATCTGTACTTCCTACTTCCTCCTTAAATACCTTGAGGCAAGATGGCATGAAAACAATGGTTAATAATATAGTACCTCAAACAACTAATTAGATATACTCAGGCCAGTATCTTTGATATGACAATATATACCTAAGACCTACTGTAGTTTAAGGAATGTGCTGTCCTTAGACTAAGGGAGGGGTGAGGAACCATCTACCTTTGTTCAAATAAAAACAGCTCCTTTCAGTCATAAAAGAAATAAAGTCCTAAAACATGTTACAACATAGATGAACCTTGAAAACATTATGACAAGTAAATAAGGTAGACACAAAAAGGACAAATACTGTATTATTCCATTTATATGAAAAATGTTGAATAGGCAAATTCAGAGAGAAAGTAAATCAGAAGTTATCAGGGTTTGGGAAGAAGTGGAAGAGGGTGTTACTGCTTGTTGGATAGAGTGAGGTGAAAAAGTTTTGGAAATAGATAATGGTGATGGCCACACAACATTCTGGGTGTACCTAATGCCACTGAACTGTACACTTAGTAATGGTTAAAAGGGCAAATTTATACTATATATATATGTATATGTATATAGAGTTTACCACCAGAAAAAGAAAGCTCTGTCTGTCCCATATGCATTCAACGTATGGTTACGTAGTAGTCTTGTCTAATAAACATACAGCCCGCCCCCCATGTTTATTTTTAATTAAAATAAATTAATTTTAATTTATTTCAAATTAAAAAGATGTCCTAACAGAGTAGGGTTTGGATGCAATTCAACTAACGTCTGGTGAGTGCTTGTTATGCGCCAAACAATATTAGAGGTTCTGGAGATTTAGAAAGAAAATAGTGAGTAGTAACCTCTGTCTTCAAAGAGCTCATAAAACTCTTAGAATTAGTGTTTTTTTTAATAAAAACAATTCTTTAAATAGTAAAATTTGGCATAAAGTCCAAGAAAGTAGTAGTAACTTACATGCATTCTCTAGAAAATAGCTTAAAGGAAAGTGAAAGCTGTTCTGAGGTAGTATGTTGTCTCGAATGTGTTTTAGTCAAATTCCATAAGAAATTCATTATATTTCAAATATATGAATAAAATAGTTGTTGTTTTAGGAGTCTAGCACACATGAAAATGTTGATATTAAAATGCATCTAGAATATTTTCTTAATTTTTGAAACTAATATTGTACCACTAAACTAAATTTAGGATAAACCCATATTATGACTTGATGAAGAATATAAAAAATGCAAAAGACATTTAGAAAGCTTTCTTATATCATATATTTCTTATAACTATTTTCTGATTCAGAATCAGGAAAACTATGATAATCACAAAATATGGACCTTGGAGATCATTTAGCACAAATTTTTCATCTTAGGGCTTCATTTTTCTCTTCTATGGAATAAGTGTACTTACAGAAGTTGTTCCAAAAGGTCACATCTAGCTGGAAAGAACCCAATTATCTCTACATTTTTTAATCTTTCCATTATACCCCATCTCATTCAGTAGTCCCTGACTACATTTGCTTAAACTTTTACTAGACTTGTTTTATTCATCTTTGTACAACCTGCATATAGTTTAAGATATATATGGAAACTGCTTATTAAATGTTTAAATTACTCTCCGCCAGAAAGTGTCTTCTACCAGATAGGGTCTTTATGGTATGAGAAAGACTTATGAAAATTTATCAGGAAGGTTTAGTTCTTGAGATCTTTACGTTCATTTGACATCTTAAAAAGTACTTATAACCTTATAAAACCCATTTGACTATTTACCATGTGCCTACTACTGTGAGAAACTATAAACAGCATCTCATATGACTTTCACAAAACCATATGAGGTAAGTATTATTCAATTTTATTCATGATGTAACTGAGGTATCTATTTTTAAAAACTCCAATGGGTCAGAGGGTAATATATTTTGATATATCTTCTCAGGCAAGGGAAACAAAAGAAAAAGTAAATGGGACTACATCAAACTGAAAAATATTTGCACAGCAAAGGAAAATACCAATAAAACAAAACGACGATCTACTAAATGAGAACATTTTTCCCAATGATACATCTGATAAAGGGTTAATATCTAAAACATATAAAGAACTCACACAATTCAACACAAAAAACCCCAAACAATCCAATTATAAAATGGGCAGGAGACTTGAATAGGTTTTTCTCCAAAGAGGACATAGAGATGGCCAATAGACATATGAAAAGATGATCAATGTTACTAATCACCAGAGAAATGCAAATTAAAACCACAATGAGATATCACTTCACACTTGTCTGAATAGCTACCATCAATAAATAAAAAACAAGTGTTGGCGAGGATGTGAAGAAATGAACTGTTGGTGGGATTGCAAACTGGTATAGTCACTATTGAAAACTAGTTTGGAGGTTCCTCAAAAAATTAAAAATAGGACTACGTTGTGACTCAGCAATTTCACTACTGGGTATTTATCCCAAGAAAACCAAAACCTTAATTCAAAAAGATACATGCACTCCTATATTCACTGCAGCACTATTTACAATAGCCAAGATATGGAAGCAACCTAAGTATTCATCAATAGATGGCCAGATAAAGAAGATGTGGTACATATATACAATGGATTACTCAGCCATAAAAAAATGTAATCTTACCATTTGCTATGACATGAATGGACCTAGAAGGTAGGCATTACACTAAGTGAAATAAGCCAGACAGAGAAAGACAAATACTGTATGATTTCACTCATATGTGGAATCTAAAGAATAAAATAAACAAAACGGAAACAGACTCATAGATACGGAAAACAAACTGGTGATTGTTAGATGGGAGTGGGGCTGAGGGTTGGGTGAAAAAGGTGAAGAGATTAAGATGTACTACTTGGCAGTTACAAAATAGTCTTGGGGGTTTAAAGTACAGCATAGGGAATATAGTCAATAATATTGTAACAGCTAGGTTACTACTATAGTGCCACATGGGTAGTAGACTAATGGGGGTGGGGCTAACGCTTTGTAAATTTAAACAATACACCGTGTTATCTGTCTTCCTAGACACACAATACTAACAATCCAATTGCAAATATATCAAAGGTGAGAAGAGCTGTTTTTCATTTTGGTAATAGCTAACATTTCTGGGCCCTTACCAAGTGTCAAGAACCATGCTGAGCACTCATTTAATTTTAACCCAACACTCCAGGGCAATGACTAATGAAGCCTATGAGGCTGTCTATTGTAACACCATACAGACAAGAGGAAGCTACTACAGGTGAGATGGTCCACCCCACAGCCTTGGAATGAGGCTAGCTTAAAAGAAAAAATAAGCTCCGTATCCCAAGGAAACCTTTGCTAACTGGAACTTTCCCAGTAGCCTCATGATCTCCAGCTTAAACAGGTTACATGACTCCTCAAACAATTAAGATTATAATTAATGTCATCATACCTCACAACCTATTTGTCACCAAGGTATCATTATCAGACCTTCAATCTCACAAATTTATTTATTTATTAATTTGATCTAATTTTCCACTTTACCTTACTAGTCATTTCTATGTCCTCTGGTACTCATGGTCTAATGTAAGCAAATTCTTTTCATAACTAATCTCTTTTGAATAATATCTTCAATTTCATGCCTCATCCACAGTACTCCCCCACCCCCGACTGATACATACTCTTCTGCAGCCATTTTTCCCCCACAACCCCTTTTACCTAAGTATCAAGAAGTGGGGACAGATGCCCTACCACCACCTATTGCTGTTCGAAACTCCAAGCCCCTTCTCATTCATTAATGACTTTAACACCTGTCTCTCAATTGTCTTTATCAACTTATTTTTGGCTATTTCAACAGCCATGCAGACCATGCACTTTCAATATTACTGACTTCCTCAATATCTTTGCTTCCAATATTACCCTACCCTACCCTCAGTAATCTATTCTATGGTCATACCCTTGACCGTCATCAGTTTACTGCACTACCCCTACATCTATATCTTAAACATTCCCTCCTCCGTGTTCCTACAATTTCTCATCATTCTACTTCACCTACTCTGGCAATTCTCTTCAATATCAGTAAGAGTCAAAGACACAGACCCTACCACTTTCTCATTATCCACTTCTTGATGTACTTACTTCCCCTACTGATTTTAATTTCTAGGACCATAATCATGTCCTTACAAATACCCTTATCTCCTTTCAAGATATCTGTCTGGTAAAAGTCTCAACCCTATTGAACTCAGATCGATGGCTGTACTTAAGCATCTAAAAACTGCTTCTAAAAAAATGTACAGGTATCTCACTTGTAAGTAATATTCACGGTCACCGATTTTTATGAACACTAATACTTCCTGAAAACATCTTAGAATGTTATTTCTCCCACATATCAAAATCTCTTAAAATGTCCCCTAATTAGCTAAAGATCTTATCCCCCTTTACTAAGAAAACAGAAAAAAATAGGACTTCAAGCATCTTCTCACCAAAGCAACAAAGTGATCAACATCTGTATCTACACAGCCTTCTTGAAATTAAGTACTTCTTCCTATTATATGCTAACCATGTGACTTGTGTTCCGAATCCCATCTTTCCCTTTTCTTTTCGTAAATTCTTTTTCCCTCTCCATTGTATCTCATTTGAATTTAAAAATGCCTTAAAATCTCCTACTTCAAAACAAAACACATCCCATGACCCCATTAAGTCTTCAATTCCTATCTTATATCTTCAATCTCCTTGATAGTAAAGCTTATTGAAAGAGAGATCTATGTGGCTGTTCCTCATCTTACCTCATTTTCTTCTCTCAGTCCAATCTAAACATGCCATGATCCCTACCACTCCATGGAGACAAGCTACCAAGGACATTCATGCTACCAAATCCAACCATCATTTCTTTGTTCTTATCTCTTTCTAGTAGCCAGCAAGGTTGATTACACCCTCTTTAAAGTACTTTATTTTTTTTGGCCTACATAACACTCCATTTTCTTATGTTTCCTTCTTACCAGACTGAGGCTGCTCCTCAAATCTCCTTCTCCGCTTCCACTAACCATGTGGGTGCCCCAGGACTCTGTTCTGGGCTCATTTCTTTAATATATGCTTATGCTCTAATCTCAAAGCTTAAAATATTACTTATGTATTCATGAGTTTCAAAACTGTAATTTTCAGTGCTAGTACCCCCTGAAACATCAGGCTTGTCTAATTGCTTGTCATTTCCATATGGTTATCTAATAAGCAGTTCATATATAATATTCCTAAAAGTCCTGATTTCCTGTTCTAAACTTATTCTATTCCCAGTCATCTTTATTTCAATAAATAACCCTACAACTTACTTAGTTGCTCAAGGCAACAATATGAGTTTCCCTGATTGTTCTTTCTCCTTCATTCCACTATATCTGATCCACTGGCGAGTCTTAACAGAACCTATCTCTAAAACATATCAGAGTCCATCCATTTCTACCACTAAACAGAGAAATTACACACGCACAAACCACCACCACCACCACCACCACCACCACCACCTCTTGTAAGATAATTTCTGGTTGGCCACGACTGATTCCTGGTTGGCTTCCCTTCTACTCTTGTCCCCCTAAAATTCATTCTCCACAGAGCAGCCAAAATATAAATAAGATCATTTCACTCCCCTGCTCTTCAGTGGCTTCCCAACACACTTTGATAAAAATATAAACTTCAGACAGGAGCTCTAAAAGTCTTAAATAAACTAGCCTTAGCTAATCTCTCTTATTTCAATGGTATCACCTCTCTCCTTGCCCACTAATCATACTCCAGACACACCAAGCTTCATTCAGTTCTAAGTCATTCCCACCTTCAAGTGTGAATAGTTGTTCCCTCTACTGGAATGCTCTTGTCCTCATTTTTGATTAGCTAGCTCTTTCTTGTTCAATTTAAACATCCTCAGTTCAACAAGGCATTCCTTTAACACTCAATACTACACCACAAGAGCAGATGCCTTGTCTATCTTGTTTACAGTTCTAGACCTCACATCTAGAATTGTGCCTGGCTGCATCACAAGCACTCAAAAAACAAATGAATCCCTACAATATTGACGTATTAGACAACAGCATTAGAAACAACAGCGTTAGGTAGGACACATAGCTGGAACGTAGAAAGCCTATCTCTTTGATTCAAAGGGATCTTACATGATATAAGGGTCACAAACGATAACAAATTGTTTTATTATACCGATGAAGTAGTAGTTTGTTGGATAAGCGAAACATAAGAAACACTACTATAAATTAAATTTATGAATCAAGACACTCTGGATATTATAATTTGAGACAATAAATTATAATCAAATTTGTTAATTAAAATGTACACACACATGCATCTCTTGGAAAAATTGTGAAAAGAAAATACACAAAAGGGTAAATCTTACCAGAGTTAATTTTGGCCTGTAACCACTTTTTCATACACTCTTGGTGGACATACTGTAAACTTCCTGTGCACTTGCATGGCTCTATCAGCAAGTTAGATGATGATGCAGCTGCCATTTGACAAATTCGACATAAATCACCTTCTTCTTCTTCAGAGTCCTCTAAAAGAAGGCTGGAAAAGATGACAGACACATTTCCTAAACATAACTATTATAACTCATCTGGTTGGTCATTTCCAGTCATACACAATCCCAAACAATATTTTCTGTATTTCTACTAACTCTCTCCAGATTAAAAGAAAAAAAAAAAGCAACAATAATAAACAGCAAGCACCATGAAAAACCATTACAATGAGAATGAAAATTATAATAAATATTTTAAGGTAAATGAAATAAGCAATCCTATTACTTATCTTCAAATAATTCTTGCGACTTCTCATTACATGTTGTCAGAAAAACGTATGTTCAACTTGATAAGCTTTTTGTATTAAATCACAGTAAAAAAATAAATGAATAGATTTTACAATTCTCCATTTTCCCCATCCCCAGCAATGTTATTAAATCATCTTGGATTTACAGAAGGGTAGGCTTTTAAAGTGTTGAGCAGGGTCCATTAACTGATGTACTCTACTTAATAGGTCAACATGTAGAATGATTTAAATATAGAATAGCTATATAATAAGAAAGTAATTTGTTAAATCCCTATTGCTTTAGTCGACTGCTAGCATGAAAGAGGTATTCAGTAAATTGATGATACTGATTGCTAGCTGCTAATGAAATACAACCTGGATTATATGGGTTCCTAATGAATTTAACAATAGATGTGTGGGAATAGGAATGGGTGTATAGCTGTTAGGTAAATTCCATGCCCTGGTTTAACCAGAGGTATGATCTCAAGCATAAATATTTATGTTTTACTTTTAGATTTAACTTTCTTCATTTCGTTGTTTCAATTACTTTTTACTTTGGAGATTCAATTTTTTACACTCTTATTACAATAGTCCCCCTTATCTGCAGGGGATACATTCCAAGACTCCCAGTGGATGCATGAAACCACATATAATACCAAACCCTATATATAGTATTTTTTTCTATACATACCTATGATAAAGTTTAATTTATAAATTATGCACAGTAACAGATTAACTACTGATGAAACAGAACAATTATAATAATATACTGTAAGAAAAGTTATGTGAACATGGTCTTTCTCTCAAAATATATTACTGTACATGGAGGGTTGGTATGTGGTATGTTGGACAAAGGGTTGATTCACCTCCTGGATGGGATGGAAGTAGATGGTGTGAGATTTCATCATTCTACTCAGAAGTACACAATATAAAATTTGAATTCTTTTTTGAATTTTCTATTTAATATTTTCAGATGGCACTTGACAACAGGTAACTGAAACCATAAAAAACAAAACCGCAGATAAGGGGGAACTACTATAATTTAAATGGAGTGTCTTAAAATCCTCATGTATGAGCAAAAAATATAATAAAGACATATACACACACATAAACTCTATGGCAAAATAACCAACAAATGCTCCTTTCTAAGCTAAGCAGATAGTGGAGCTGGCTTAATTTGTTTCTCTCTGGAAATCACTAAATTTAATGCTTTGCCCTCTGCTTACACTACTGTACTCAAATTAATCTAACTATGAGCACAAGAAATACAATAGTTAACTACATTCTTCAGTAGAGAGCTTGAAATCATAAGGAGTTACTACAATAACATTAAGCTAATACTACCAGGGCAGAATAAATAAAAGAAAAGCCACAAATTTTAAAAGCAGAAAGATAACAGTCCCATGGTACAATTTGTCTCAAATAAGAAAAAATGGAAATATAGTAGTCCAATGTCCAACATCTCAGAAAGTATGTAAAACTCCCTTTATCCTCAGAATTAGATTTCAATATAAAATACTAAAATAAAATGATAGCAACAGCTATACTCCCCCCAAATTCTATTACATTAGGCCTTTATTTGAACAAAGAAACCCTAAAATAAAAACACCCACAACCTTAAGCTTTACATAGTTTTTTCTTCCTGCAAGTATATTTTACACGTACTATTCTATCTCATTTTAACATAAAAATTAATTTGCCAGGTGAAAAATTAAGTAACTGCACTGATGACAAAAATAATAAGTTGGGACTAAAATCTCTGATCTTTCATCTTTTCATTCTTATTAGAGATTTCTAAGCAATATTCAACTCTAAAGAAGGTAGTTATATAAATGAAATTCTGAATTTAAACTTGTCTACCAAAGTCACAAGAAAGAAAGAATATTTGGAATATGTGGTGACAGAAAGAAATCCAACTATGGGAGGTGAACACACAGTATAAATATATATGTATATGCCTTACTGTCAAAGTGTACAGCTAAAACTTATTGGATTTCGTTAACCAATGTCACCATAAATAGAAAGAAAGAAAAAAGAAAGAAAAGATTTGATACATACCTGAACTTCAAAAACAAAATTAAAAAATTGTGCAAATGATTTTACTTCATTCCAAAAAGATTTGAGGTAAAAATTACACATAAATGGTAAATAAATGATCTTAGTAAAGGCTAAAACAAATTGTCTTGATAATCTATGACTACTTGGGCTTCCTTTCAAATCCCATTTAGCTCTAGTCTACCAAGGATAGGGTAAGAGATTAAGATTTTTTTTGTCTCTGTGTGCATCTGAATCCAAAGATTATTAAAAATCTTTAGATCATTTCTTAATGCAATCTATACTGCCTGGCTCAATTATTAAGTCTCATCCAGTTTACTTCTGAGTAAGAGGTAACATCAACATTAATATCTTAATGTAAATTTCAAGAAAAAAATTTTAGATATCAATGTTATAAGAAGCCATTTCAGAAATAAAAACTTTCTCTAATCTGCTCTTGCTTTTTTATAGGCTTAAGACAGGTATTCAAATTTACCTCTCTTTTATTTTCTGCAGTCTTTCTGGATCTCTTGAAGGTACACTTTTAGTTTTATCACTTTTTCCATCAGATGAACTCCAACCTGAAGGAATGATATCTACAGTGATCATGACATTGTCGGTCAAATTATTTCCAAGTGTTGGGGGGACTGCAAATCGGAATAAGGAACCAGGAAGAAACCCTGTTATTCCTGTATTTCTTCCACTATGAACGGATTCAGATGTGGAGCCACCTGTAGCAGCACTACTTGATGCTGCAGGTGCTTGTGGTCTGTTGGCAGCCCCAAGGGGATCACTCTGTGCTTCAAGGTGAACCACTTCATTTGATTCTCTTCTAAAAATATGATGAGATCTAGATGGTATATCAGAGGTAGGTATCCTTGAAGATTCATCTCGTCCCTCTCGTCTCCTTCTAGAGAACAAAGGTGTGCATCTATTTCTAAGTGAGGAAGACAACCACGGTCCTGTATTTCTACCTTCGGATTCTTGGTTAAAATTTTCTGAATCTGGCTCAGAGTTATGATTCTGGCTGAGAGATGACAAACCCCATCTACGCCTAAGAAATCGAAATCCCTGAGAGGCTTCAGATGCCCTGTTATCGGGAACGTCAGAAGTTGATGCTGCGTTACGAGACTGTGAAGCTGTCAAGATTCTTGGAGAAATATAAGAATTTTCAGAACTCAATGATCTTGTACTTAAGGATTCTTGACTAGACCTTCGTGAAAAAAAAGTAGATGACATACTAGAAGCTATACGTGACAGCAATCTCCTGGTCGTACGTCTACCTTCATTGTCAGAAGAATCTTGAAATGATCTTTGAGATGAACCAACCCTATCTGAATTGCTTATAGTTGAGGTTTCATCTCTATTTGAAATATAAGAAAATCCAGGCTGTGCACTGCTTTGGGGAGATTCCAATTCTCTTGGAGAAAAATTTGACCTTAAAGAATTTCTACTAGAGTCCCTAGAACATGATATGGTCTGATGTTCAGAAGGCATTTGGTGATTTGTGGATGATGTATTCAATTGTAAAGTGCTCACTGAGTTCTCTTTTGGTCTTGCTCCCTGTGAATATGAAGAAGGAACTCTGTCTTGAACATCTATTTTTGAAAGAAAAAATAACCAATTACATGAAGTAATTTGACTGTTATTAAAGTTGCATTTATTACCTACTTATTGCCAATATGAAACACTGAATTCAAATGTATACTGCTACATTATAACTATTATAGAAAAAACACATAAATGTACTTCTTTTACTACACCTTTGGTAAAATCCACTACTGCTGTATAAAGTCAACATTACAAATTCAAATGAGAGCTTATTATGAGAGGTAAACATCAATCTACCAACTTGATAAAGGCAAAACAGTTGAATTTGTTGATCAGAAACTGATATGGTAGAATACCTAATATCTAAACAGATAAGGAATTTTAAATAGGCCAAGTAAGTCTACATAAATGACTCTTATAACAAATAAAAGCAAAATAATCCCAGGGAGACAGTGTTTTGGAGAATTTTTTTACTCTGCAGTAAGTATAAAAGTAATTTCATGTAAACATTATCACCCTAGCAATTTTATGGCAAACCTAGCTAACAGTTAAAAATTTCTCCATCTTTTTTTTTGGTTTGTTTGTTTTCAACATAACAGCAGTGGTTCTTATCCCCAGTTACTCATCAAACATACTTTTGCTTTTTAATACTGACTGGGAGCTATGAGTTAGAATAGAGTCATGATATTTGCAATTTTAAAAATACCCCACTGGTGGTTCTAAACTCGAATGGAATGAGAAATACTACAGCATTCCTTTATAAAGAATACTCATCCTTACACCTAGTTTAACAGCTAGACTGTTAAGTGCTAATACGTGGAGCCTCATAAAGGAATAAACTGTCAAGCTAAATCTATTCTGTTCTGTACTTTATACCTCCAAACCTAGAAATCTATTGATACTATCTACTAAAACTCCTCAAAGACAAGCAAATAAAAAGATGTTTTCATGTGTCTTAAATAAAGCAGTCTTGACCCAATAAGACTATTTAATATTTAAAATAAACCAAATCTTTAAGAACAAATGTATCTTCTAGGTAAATCAAATTCCATTTTTGCCTGCTATATCTGTCTACTCTAATTTGTACTTTTTGTTATTAGTTCCTTAGTACTATTTTTTATGGTATTTATGTTTGAAAAGCTTAAGCTTATGTACACTGACAAACAGTATGGGTCTTTATTTCAACTGAACAAAAATAAAGGTACATGAATCTTAAACCAAGGTAATTTTAAATTTTGCCTTAAAATGTTGATTTCAAGCTTTAGTTAGTTCAGAATTTAACTAGAGGAGTATACAAGATTTAGAATACTTTATGACATACATTCTTAAAAGGAAAATGCAAGTAAAAAATATATCAGCTGACAGAATTTGGATATCCATGCACATCTATTTTAAATTGTTTACATTTTTAAAAGTAAAATAACAAATAAGGTACTAGGAAATATGTTAAGCTATTTTGAAATTTTTGTAAGTTTCTCTTTATTCTTTTGTACTGTGATTTTAGTGCTATAAAGAGGAAAACAACATTATTAGATACATTATATAACACAACACAGTTTATACATACATGATGAAGTTGTGAAATCACCACTTCGGTGACTATAATCCATAAGATTACTAATGGAGGAATCTGCTCTCCTCTCTAAATCTCTCCTCTCTCTCATTAAGTCAGATCCAAAAGATCCAAGTACCATTGATGAAGATCTGGGAACTTGATTATGTCTCCAAGAAGAATCTTAAAATAATTGAAGAAGTTTTAATTCAGAGAAACTTTCAAGGTTTCTGATGACAACAAATCTTCACTATTACACAGGGAGGTTGTGATTTATTGTAGGACTTCATCAGGTTATATAGTAGCAATGAGAATCAAAATTTAGCACAACACAGAACTATTCATTAATGAACTCATCATTTATAAAATTATTTCCTAATGCAAATACATTCTTCTCTAACACTAATATCTATCCCCATCCATGATGGCAATGTCTCAGTTATTCTCTAGGACATCTGGCCATAAAATGTAAACATGATGTAAAATGGTTACATGACAAAATGTAATGCAAAGCTTGCCAAAGATGGAGAATTTCATGAAAAGTCAATAAAAGTGATGTTGGAAAACAGCCAAAATCAAAATCAAAGCCTCTCTGTAATGGAAGCTAGTATATTACAAGGTTATATAATACTATTTATCAGAAATAGTCACTGCCACCACACTTGGTTCACTTCCTATTCTAAGAATTAATGCATCGCTGCAACCTAAATTTTGTTAGGTTATGATTTCATTTAAAAAGAAATTAAATATTAAGTCTGAAGTTCCCCCCCTTATTATCTACCTTAAAATTCTGGTTCCTCTCCTATTCCCAACAGCCTTAATAATTCCTCTTCATTAAGGAAAATGGCCCAGAGATTTAATGGTATGCCTTCACAAAGCAGAGGAGAACAAAAATCTCTGTACAGTGGTGTCTGTCTACAAAATTAAGGTCTGCTCTTACCCATCACACTATTAATACCCTTCAGATGGGGCAGTGTCTTTCCCATGGCAGTCCTGCCTATTAAAATAGAAAGGAATCGCTTACACTAATTCGTACATGTATGAATTAGTAATATATATGTATTTCAAGAATTTTATCTCCAATTGTGTCATCACAAGTTCTGACTCACCTAAAAACTATTTTGGGCATTGGCTAGTATTTCATTTAAAGAGAGGTATAAGTGAGGAGGGAGCCTCCTGCCCTTTCAATACATATATACATACATATATATATATATATGTGTGTGTGTGTGTGTGTACATGTGTGTGTATATATATATGTGTATATATTAAAAAATTTTTAAATATATATGTGTGTATATTAAAAATTTAGCTCCTATAATAACCAAGAGAATACACGTCACTATTACCAATCTGATCACCATACATTACCAGCTATTCTAATTTATTAAAATGTGTGAAAATCCTGTTTGTGTAAAACAGCGGTACAAAACTTAGAACAAAAATTCAAAATAAGAGCTAATTTCAGTTCTAGCACTACTTAAGGTAAGATGCTGGGAATTCCACTACATTTCTGACTGTCTTATGTGTGCTCTACTTGCTTAATGCAGTACCTCTTGGGAAAAGGGCTTTAGTCCAAAGTACATATATAGTGGCTCTTAAATTAAATTCTTACCTGATACTGCACTTAAACCATGTCCAACATTTCTCCCAGCTGAGGTAGATGTACAGTTTGTACAGGAAAGTTTAGGCCTTTTTGAATCATGATCCCGTTGCTGGTTTTGTGATCTTGAGCGTGCTCCCTGAGTTATCTCAGATTCACTATACCATGTAGACTGAAATGGAGATGCAGATGCTGATGCAGATGTAGACTGTTAAGTTAAAAAATATTTTTAAGGGACAAAATGTTTGCATTCAATATTAAATTTAATCTACCATACTCTGATACATTCCCAAGGACAATTCATTCCTCACATGCACAAATTTTTCTACCATGCAGGTTTTCTATAGTTTTTGTCCCTTCTACCCACTTGTCCCTACACTTTATACTATAATTATACTCTGTTGAGTAATAAATCTGATTTAGATTAGTTAAGTCTTCTATGTAATCATATATTACCATCTGGTTAGGAAACACTGAAGAGTCAAAACTTTATTCACTTTGTTTTCTCAGTTTAATATTTCAACCTTCTGAGGAACCCATTTTCTGTTCTTAAAAGTGGATAAAACACTGAGAGGCACTAATATACCAAATGATGTGAATACTATAAAAATAAGATTTTTCAAGTAATAAAAAAATTTATCCTGGATCTAAAGTTCATTCTTAGGAATACAGTCATACAACACTTTATTAACAGTATTTTTTAAAAGAAATCTTAATATCTGGAATTTTTTCATCAGTGAAGCAAGAAGAAAGCTATGACAAGTACGTATTTTAAAACTTTTAGCTTAAGGTTTTCTTTAACATATATACATACACAAAATAAAACCACCTAAAACACAAAAGTTACAAGGCACAAACTATTTTACTTCTACTTAATTCTTTAATTAATTAAGCAGTATAATGCGTAAAAAGGAAAAGGATTAGTCTGTCTCCTAAAAAATATACATTTAAATCAGAACATATTTCAACCACAATTTCTGAAATTGTCCTTTTATATTTCTTGACAAAATAAAGTTAAAACTCGAATGTTTTATGAGCTGTAAATTCAGTCTGTTAATCTAATATTCACATGATAAACGTTAAGAATCTAAATAATGTACTCCATATAAGAGTTCTAGAGTACAGATAACAAGTGAATAAATTATCATAATATAAATAAGACTATAACAGAAGGTATGCTGAAAGTTTTACAGAAAAAAAAGAGCCTAACTATGCCAGAGGAAAGCGGGAGAGGATTCACAGAAGGTGGTAAGAGTTCATTGGGCAGGCAAACGAGGAAGATTATAGATGACATAGTAGGACATATAAACCACTCTACCATGGAAATTCTTCTAAAGCATTACTATTTGATCTATTATGCTTCAATTATGAGAAGCATACTGCACACACATTCAGAGAACGCTATAGAATAAACTGCACATATATGGAAAAGCAGAAATTGCTAAGATGAAAAAGGAGAAACTGACTATATCAGGATTTTATCCATCCCTCGCCATGGAATATTTTGCTAATGAAAGTGGCACTCTTCAGCTCAGTACAAACTTAGTCTCACAAGCCTTCTGCACCAAGTAATCTACAGAATACCAATCAATAAACTAGAGTAGCACAAGAGATGAAATTCATTAGATATTTCAAAACCAAACCATTTTCTGTGCCATTATCAGGGTAATTATCCTACATGCCAGTGATTTAACATGTTTGGATTTCAGAGACCAATATAAAAAGTTTTAATAGAAAATTTATAAAGAGCTGCCACTTTCGACAAAGAAATCTAAAATTGCAAATACCATCTAACTTTGTTCCCAATTTCTTAAAAAGGGCTTTTTATGCTCACAAAATGAAGATATAGCAGAATAAGACAGGCTTTTAAATTGATCCTTCGTATTTTTGTGGCATCATTTGTAACATCTCCCCTTTCATTTCTTACTTGAGTCCTCTTTTTTCCTTTGTTGAGCTTAGCTAAAGATTTGTCTACTTTGTTAATCTTATTTTCACCACCTCTTCCCAACAATATACTGCAAGTTCTAGATAATGCAATAAGGAAAGAAAATAAAAGATATACAGATTGGGAAACAAGATGTAAAACCGTATTTGCAGAAGACAAAAATCTATGTATAATATGTGATAGAATCAACAAAATATCTTCCTAAACTAATAATTATAGTAAGGCTGCAGGACACAAGGTTAATATACAAAAGTCACTTTCTTATATACCAATGGAAAAGTGGAATATGCATTAAAAACTCTCATAACTCAGTAAGAAAATGATAAATACCCCAATTTAAAAATGAGCAAAGGATCTGAATAGACATTCCTTCAAAAATATAAAAATGGCTAATTAGTACAAAAAGATGCTCAACGTCAGAAGACAAGGAAATCCAAATAAAAACTGTGGTAAGATACTACTTTACATCCACAATAGAATGGCTAAAATCAAAATGTATGATAAGTGTAGGTGAGGATGTAGAAAAGTCGAAACCCTCATTTATAACTGCTGGTGGAAATATAAAATGGTTCAGCCAGTTTGGAAAGCAGTCTGGCAGTTCCTCAAATAACTGAACATAGACTTAGCATATAACTCAGCAATTCTACTCTTAGTATATACCCAAGATAACTGAAAACATAAGTCCACACAGAAACTTGCACGCAAATGTTTATAGCAATATTATTCATAAGAGTCAAAAGGTGGAAACAATCTGCATGTCCACTATGATGAATACACAAAATGTGCTATAGCCATACAATGGAATAGTATTCATCCATAAAGGAAATAAAGTACTGATGATATAAGCTACAGCATATAAACCTTAAAAACACGCTAAGTAAAAGAAGCTAGTTACAAAAGACCACATACTATACATGTCTATTCATGTATATGAAATTCTAAAATAGGAAAAACCAGAGACAGAAAGCAGATTAGTGGTTGCCTACTGCTGGAGTGGAAGGAGATGTGGTAATGAAGTGAAATCTAAAGGACATGGGTTTCTTTTCTTGAGGTGATAAAAAGGTTCTAAACTTGACTGTGGTTGAGTTTGCACCACTCTGAATATACTAAAAACTACTGAATTATATACTTTAAGTGGGCAAGTCACATGGTATGCAATCAAGCTATTCGTTAAAAAAAAACTTAACAATTGCTACACACCCAAACCAATGTATCCACTGGACAATGCTTGATCATGGGAAATTATATAATGGAACCAAGTCCAGAATGAAACGCTCATACTTGGCTCCTCACTTCCATGAATCGATGCCTTGACGTTGATGACGTAAATTTTCCAGATCAAAATTACCTTAGCCATATGTAACAACTTACAACTTTGATTTCTTTTTTTAAATATTCATGTGCTAGAGAGTATCCATCACCATATTACATGAAAGTCTTACATTCCAGTTTCTATTAAGAATAAGTCGTCAATTTTCATTAAAAAAGACATTAGCTAATCTTAACAATTTATGGATTTATCCATGGCAACTTTAAGAGAAATCCAGGTTAAAAAACAAAAACAAACAAACAAACAAAACCTTATATTTATACAAGATGAATGGACTTGGAGCCCATTTGCCCCTCAAAACTCCCCAGGTTTGATACCTGGATCAAATTAGATTACCAGAGTTAATATTTAGATCACTCTGTTGTTGCTTTACAGAACTGCTTTCATTGGGCTGTAATTTTGCATCACATCCTTTGCTTTTGCTGCAGTTTACTAATAAAGTTTCACCAAACTACGTATATACTTATAGTACGAATACTACATTGAAAATACTATCCACTATTATCATTCACTGTTCCCTTCCAGACCAGACTGCCAAACATTGCTTCCTCTGAGAAATTGTATTTCTTTTCCTTATGAACAAAGCAGCTCATAAAGCTGGTCTGTTTCCCTGTGATCTTCCTGGAATCCAAAACAATAGTCCAAGTTTAATTTTAAAATACTGCAGGGCTCATGAATGCCTATTGATGCTATCAGTATTTTATCTGTTTTTCCTGATTCCATTTTAAAACTATTTTTATTTTCTCATCTAATTGTGTATACATTTATGTATGTATTTAATTCCCTGAAAGCTACCCTTGCAGTAGATAAGAAAAAAAAGTTAATGACCATTGGTTCTTTTAATTCTTGAGCAAACCTAACTGCAAAACACGCAGTGGTACTGAGCTCTGTAACAGTTGACCTACAAACTAGAAAATGTTGTAAATAACTGTAAAAAGCACCTATAATCTCGTAAAAAGCCTCCCTTATTATTTCATATTAAAATTAATTAACCACTCTCAACAAAGCAAAAGAGAAAGTGCAATGAGATTAGTGGCTTAAATTAAGTTAGAGAAAATATATAAAAGTAACAATTACATATTTATAGATTACTCCATTTTACTTTTAACAATATGAATTATGGGAATTAAATTTTATTTTAAAAATGCCTAAAGTTCTACCTACTGTAACCAAAAGATGACTATAGTTTTCAACCATTCAGAGTGCAACAAAAATTTAAAGATGGAATAACAAATATCAGCAAGATTAACAACCGCAGCCCAGTTTATAAAAAGCCAAGAATCAAAAGATATTTAGAAAATCAATTATTCGGAACTTAGAACCTACATATCCCAAAGAAACAAACCTACCCAGTAGTCTTAAGCTCAGATACATTATATACTAACTACGTGACTGAGGGAAACCACTTATTTTCTAAATATGCAATATGTAATTGAAGCATTCGGATAACATATTTTACTATACCTGAAAGATACTAATTATCTACTTAAACCAATGTAAAGCCAGGAACTGACCATAGAGATAGCAGTAAGAAAAATCATGATTATAACTGGTAACATTTGAACTCTTCCAGGCACTCTTGTTCTAAGTGCTTTACATGTATTATTTCTTTCACTTAATCTTAACTATATGAGGAAGCTACTATTATCACCATTTTACACAAGAGGAAAGAGAAATATGTGGCTCAAGAACACAGAAGTTTCCATTTTTAAATTAAAACTAAAAAGTGAAGCAGGCTATGAATAGTTGATTTAAGGTGGGAAATATTCCTATAATCCATTAAAAAGATTGGAAGCCCTTTAGAAGCCCTTTAAAGCGACTGAAAAACATTAAGGAAAACCCCCAAATTTGCAAAATGAATTACTTATTAAGAACCTATAAAAGACTTGTTTTTTTTTTTTATCCTTGCATTCAACTTCTACAATGAAAAATAAAAATAATCTATGACATTAAGAACAAGCTGGAAAGAATGGTCTGAAAATAGTTATATTTTAAAGTGAATGTTAGTAAATTTTCTAAATATATTTGACTTTCAGCACCTAAAATATTATAATTACTATAGTAAAAATATATATAGCACCTAACATTTATGTAGTGTTTATTGCATGGCAAGCATTCAATGTACTAATTCATTTAACTTTAACAACCCAATTGACTAAATAAAATGGAAAATAAGAAAAAAAGATACAAAGTAACATGCTCAGGTTCACGTAACTAGCAATGAGTGGAACAGGACTCCAATCTAGTCAGTATAGCCTGCTTTCAGAGTCTTGTGTCCCTCACTAATAAGCTATATGAAAAATTAGACAAACATAAGCAGATATAATTTTTTAAAGACAATATAAGAAAAATCAATTCTGTGCTCTATTTAATAAGTCACAATCATTTTTACAGAATGCAAAATATATGATTCTGTACTTCTGGCAAGGATACTTTTATCTAGCAACAAAATAAAAAAACACATTATCTATTAATATTTAAAATGAGAGCAAATAAACAGTTTATATAAAGTCTCATGGGCACTTTAGAGAAATTAGTTTTTACTTCAGTCTTTCTCTGAATATTTTATAAAATGCTTATTACTGCAGAAATAATTTAAATGGCTTTGTCATACACTACATCACATGAAATATTAATATATAAGTACTTAAGACAAACAGAAAATTTCACTAAAGGATTCTAAGATTCAGTTACATAAACATCAAATTTTTGCAAATCACATGTGATTTTAGTTTTTCAGCTAATATTGCAAGAAACTTAAATTTGAAAGACAAGCACAATAAATTGCATTAAACCTACAGATCATGCCTTCTGAGATTTATACTGATTTACACTACAAGTATTGCATTATAACTGTAATAAGCCTTTCGAAAACCAAAGTGCTATCAGCCGTAAGGAAAATTAATTACATAAGAGTAGCTTGTGTAGCTTTATGTAGATTATGAATCAGTGTAAAGTCATTACTAACCAAAATAAAATCCCAAAATTCATCTAAAAAGATTGTTAGCAATGTACCCTCACAAGGCAGCCTATTAATCTAATAATCACTTAACCACTAAAAGCAAAATATTTAGAAATCACATTGTCAAAACAAACAACTTAATCTTTATTCCACCGTTGCAAAGAAAAGTTAAATGAGTGAATGTAATGTTAAAGAATAAGGATGCAATTTTTGGTCTGCTCAAAAGTCACCCACATTGACTTAGTTAAATTTACACTTAAATTGATACTTATGTTTTGAAGTAAAAAGGTTTCCAAGTCTTTGGAAAGTATGATTTTCTTTAATCCCTTATTCATAATTCTGAAGTCCACAAAGTCTTAAAAACATTACGTTTTTGCAACTTGGTATGACCAGTTATTCATTTTGCTGCAGACACAGTAATGTGTTTTGATTACAGGATGCCTCGGATTCAGCTGAAGGTGTTACAAACATGCTCTACTACTTAACTAAAATCCAAAAAAATATGCACTCGCTTTGGCAGCACATATACTAAAATCCAAAAAAATATATATAGCCCCAAGGATTCTGAGAAAAAAAAAAAAAAGACTGTGTACATATATTCCAAATTAAGATGTTACCTGATATTCAGAATCCAGTCTAAATGAAGAGTCTCTCGAATGATAGGTGTCATTTAAACTACTTCCTCTGCTTCCAGACATCATCCTAGCACTTAAAGAGCTAGAGGGCTGAACAGAAATTCTTCCTGGAATCCTTGAAGGTTTAGACTCCATTCTTAAATTTTCCTGTGAAATGCAAATTTTGATTAATTGCCTTAGGGAAAACATGAAAACATTATATTCTTAGTCCTAAGCAGTTCAAATCAAGAATTAACCATTCAAGTTACCTATATCTGGCAATGTTAAATTATGAGATTATCATCACATCCCTCTTCTAGAAGGCAGAGATCTAAAGTCTATCAAAGGTTCCCCACTGTCCATACCATGAAGCACACACATAATAAAAGTGTGATAAGGAACTGAGGTTTGTTTCCAAAGCCTGGGCTCTTTTCTTTATTCAATTGTCTTTCTATAAAATCCTACACAAATCTGCCAGTGATTACCTTGCTATTCTTATCTATTATCAGTATTCAATATTCATACCACGAACATTAGTTAGATCGTACTACACGGTTTTAAAACAAGCATTTTTTGGTGTCCTTCCACTCTGTACATGTTTTTAGTAAGACATCATGCTACCTTATGCAGTCATTTGTTTTCTTGTCTATCTCCCCCCTTCTCAAAAGAAAGAATAATTTCTAAGTTTTCTTCACTAAACATTCCTCATCCCACATGAAAAGTCACCATAGCTATACCTGATTTTTAACTATATGTAAACAGAATCATACAAAATGTATTCTTTTACGTCTGCCTGGCTTCAGATGCTCAACATTATACTTGAGATTCATTTGAGTTATTGCATGAAGTTATGGTTTATATACTATTCCATTGTATCTATACACACAATTTATTTGCCCATACTACTGTGGATGGACACTGGATTATTTCCAGTTTTAGGCTAGGCCATTACGAATGGTGTTGCTATAAAGATAACACTTTTATAAATTAAAAAACAAAACAAAAAAACACACACGAAAAAACCAAATTTTTGTTTCTTAGGGAAAGGCTTTACAATGAGGCCTCTGGATAAATGAGATGTCACGAGTCTTGAGATTAGAAAGAAGCACAAAATAAAGTAGCAAATAAAAAGAAATCACAATAATCTTTTCAACTTCTCTGGGTTACTCACTTTCGAAGTGAAAAATTATTCCCTTACTGTTCTGGAAGTGGATGGAAATTAAAGAATGTACAAACAGATGCACTTCAATTATGTGATGTACAGCCTGGGTAAGGTATACATTTGCTTTATTAAAACATTCAAATTTAAACACTTAAGTTAAAAATACTGTTTTCAGCATGAAACCCTGTTAATTTATCAACTAAGTCTTAGATCAACCACATTTTTTTTTAGGCAAGGCAACCCTTGGTTGTCCTCACAGATTGCAAGGACCTTGTCAGCTTACAATCCCTTATTTTTTAAAAATTTTTTACGCCTACAGCACCTGGTCTTCCTAGGCGGTCTCCCATCCAAGTACTAACTAAGCCTGACCCTGCTTAGCTGCTGAGATCAGAGGAAATCGGGCTTGTTCAGGGTGGCATGGTCGTAGACGATCAACCACGTATCTCTACCTCAAAAGTTACTACAAAAGAATTTACTTTTTCAATACTTGTCTTAAAAACATGGTATCAGTAATGACAGAAAAGATGGAGAGAAAAAAAAAATATGGTCTATATTGCAGTAGGAGACATACAACAAACAAAAAGATAAAACACATGCTCAATATCAGTTAAAATTATTCAACCAAGAATATCTAGCTAATGAGAAACCAGAGTAAAAGTTATATTATGGAATATGATAATATTAAATATTACTAAATTAATCCAAACGCTTTAACCATGAAAAGAGTAGGAAGGAGGACCATAAAAGGCAAGAAATTTCAATGTATGTTTAGAAAAAAAATCCAAAACAGAAGACTAATTCAGCAGAAAGAATGAAACTACACCTTAGTTAGTTAGAAGGAGGTGGAACTAGAAGCATAGCATTTCACCTTAGCACCCTAGAAAGAATCAAGACCTTGAGGAACAAAGTAACATAAAAAGGGCTGAAAAGTAAGTTGCTGAATTAGAATTTATGGCTGGAATGGTAAAATCCCAAGCTTTCCCCCTAGATCCATTCTTCCAAAAATAGGATATTTAGTCTCTGAAGAATAAAGATCTCACAAGCAATTTTTTTTTTGCCTCTAAAAATATAATTATCTCTGTGGGAATTAAGTATAAGGAATATAAAAGAAAATCTATATACCCAGTGTTGAGACCCAAAGACTCTTTCCTGGTTTTGTTTCTACAATGCTGTCAGAAAACCAAAGGATTTTACTCCTGTATTACCAAACAAAAAACCAGAGGATAGGATTTCTGGATATGAAATTGGAATGTTCCCAACGGCATAGCTAGCTTGCCACTTGATCATCCTACCCCAGAGCAAAGTCCACGAGTCACCAAGACTTTCTAATTAGTTTTAGTGCTTCCCAACCTTTTTGGCAACAGAGACTGATGCACTTATGAGAATCTAATGCTCGATGATCTGAGGTGGAGCTGAGGTATTGATGCTAACTAGCACTGGAGAGTGGCTGCAAATACAGATGAAGTTTCCGCTTGCTCACCTGCCGCTCACCTCCTGTGCATGGACCAGTACCAGTCTGCAGCTCAGGGGTTGGAGATCCCTGCTCTAATAGACAAACATCAAGGATCACTAGGTATCCAAGGAAAGCCCCCAATATAAAATACCAAAGTAAATAACCAAAAAGGAACTTAGAGAAATCTGGGGAAAGAAGCTAATTTCTATCTTCAAAGTGATGATATTCATTCATAAACTATTAAAAGGATGCTTAAGCAACCAGAGTATAATAAAGAGCTTGCGGAAATTCAAAATGTGACACACTTTAAAAAAAATGTGATACATTGAAATAAATTCAACATAAGGATTAGGAGTAAATTGAGTAAACCTCCCAAAGTGGAAAATGTAACTTGAAAATAGGAGACTTGTCCAGGGGAGTTATCATTTGACTATATAAGGTTATAGAGAGAAAAAAATGAAGAAAAAATTACCAAAGAAATAAAAGAACCTTTCTAGAATTAAAGGATACAAACTTGCACAATGAAAGGAGTCAGAAGAACACAGCAGCAAATCAAAGAAAAAAGACCAACACTAAGAACAATTTATCACCTTGAAATTTCAGAACACCTGATATAAAGGAAAGATCCTCTAAGGTTACAAGAGCAAAAAAGCAGGTCACGTACAACAAAAAAAGTAATCGAATGGTTTAATTACAACTTTAAAAACTTTTAAGACAATGAAGCAATAACTGTAGTACTGAGAAAAATGTTTAGCTTAAATTCCAATCTGACAACTAAAAGTGAGATGGAGAATAGGACATATTTTCAGACGTGCAAGATCTTTAAAAACAATCAATCAAAAAACAAAACAACCAGGAGAAGCTAAATAAAGAGCATGTCACATCCTAGGGAAATGGGAGGTAAGGAACTAAGAACCAGACACAAAACCCAGGAAGCAGTTTCAAAGGTATGCAGAAAGCATAGGGAGTTAACTTATCAAGACTGGAGCAGGATCACAGATAATGGAAGCAAAGCTCTAAGAAAAAAACAGCATCAAATGTTAACTATATTGGCATGTGGCAAAGATGATGATATATTTGGCAAAGAAAATGCTGAGCACATAAAACAAATGGCAATTTAATAAATTTTCTAATGGGAAAATAGAGCTATTGTTCAAGAAAAGATATTGCTGTTTGGGTGAACTGTTTAATATTCATATAGCTTTAATAGAAACAGTCTACTGACACTGCTACAAACATGCTTTGGGATGGAGCTTGGTAGGGGAAGTAAGGACAACGGTGAATAAAGAAAACACATAATATTGAAAAATGAAATAACAGCATAAACACATTATTTAAAAATATAAAGGTAAATCCTAGAAAAGCTAAAAAGTTGAGGGTTGCTGCCTTTAGAAAGTGGGACTCGGAACGAGAATAAAGGGTGGGGCAAAGGATTGCTGTTTTCTTTTTAAGTAGGATGACCATATTTCCTGGTTTGCCTAGAACAGTCCTAGTTTATGGCCAGAAAAGTCCTAATTTGTGCTCATTACCCCAGAATAATTATTAATAGTGCTTGGGTTGTCTCTTAAAAGTGGCCTGGTTTGAATGATTAAGCATACGATCACTTAAGTTTTTTATAAGCTACATACATATGTCCATACAAAAGTTTTTATTTAAGAGGTGTATTACTAATTGGACTTTTAAATAAAATATACATTAGAAAGTATATTAATGATTAAAACACTGACATGCAAAAGCCCATAAATGATTTAACAAGAAGCAGATTTGTTATTTTATCAAGACTATGAAAATACTAAACAAGTGACTATTTGTGATCTGAGAATTTTAAACAGGAAGACAAAATGCTTTTTAGGACATACAGGCCTATAGTTAGTTTTTCAAAAACAATAATGCTTCTTCTTAATCATACCTCTAGTAGTTTATAAGTTTACTTATACCCAATTCTTACTTGCAGACTTACTTGTAGAATGAAACTAACCTAGTAAGAAATCTGCTCAAAACCAACCTCTTGAGAGAAGGCAAAGAGGTAGAGTCCTCTGAGAGATATAATTTATACTGTATGAAACTATTTTTGGCAACTCCTCTACATAAATTGATTGAATTCTGACAATGTAGGTGTTACCAAAGAACTTATATAATTTGGTTGCATAAGTTGTAGGTCAAAAGCACAAAAAGATTGCAAAATAATTAAAATGTGCAGTCCTTGAAAAATGTCTACCAGACCACTTACAAGGTACTATGAGGCATCTTTTTAAGTTTACTCACTCATTTAACAAATAGTTTTTTAGATACTCAGTATGTGCCAGGCACATTAATTATTACTAAACAAGAAGATGAGGTAAGGGGACAACATTGACTATACTGGGATAGTTATTACGAAGAAGCTGTAGTCTAGTATAGAACAAAGTACACTAATAACCACATAATTTCGTTCTAAATGCTATTTTAAAAAAGGTTTAAGCAAAAATAATACACCAGAAGGAAAAAGGTACTTGAAGCTTACTACTTTTAATCAAGACTTAGAATACAACAAAAAGTTCATTTGTACAATGG